ATCCTAGAACGTCAACGTTAATATCAAAAAATATAGAACACCATGTTCTTTCCTCGATGACGTTAAAGCATGCGTAAATTGCACTTGTAATAATACGACACCACACTTAATTATGTGTGGGGTGTTCCTTCATAGCATAATTTCCATGCATTAGAGATATTTACTGCGTCTTTCGAGTTAATACATATGTTGTTTAATCCCGCTTTATAAATCTCTAAGGTCTCCATAATTCTTAGTTGGTCCGTACGGTGTGATAGCCTTACTATACGGGCATTCTGTAGATCCACCTTTATTCCAGGTTCTGTGGCCACAATTGAAAGGGTGGTGGTGTGTTTATTATTATCTATATCATATTTAACAGGAAGGATAGACATGACTTGAAATGCGCACCGGGAGTATATTCTATCCTCCTTTGGGATGACAGATTTAATAATAAGTTGGTATATGTGGGATCAACCAAACGCTCCCTTCGCAAACGTCTCCAGGAGCATAAATATGTTTTATTCTCACTTTACTTGTTCTATTCTCACTTTACTTTCTATTTTTTTAACGAAATCTTGGGCTAAAAGAGATACCTTTGCGCCTGTATCGATTTGCATAATAGCAGGAACTCCTTCTAGGAGACATCTAAAAGTCGCTTCTCTAGGCACTTTCCTAATTTCACTCCTTTTTCTCACAAAATGTGTTTTTGTCTCTATATCTAAGTTTAAGCTATCTTGTTTTTTTTCTATATGGCATATTCTGCCTATATGGACGTTGATAACGTCGCTGTCCTCCCACACTTCGTATATTTCCTCTAAACCGGCCATCAGGATGCTGCTGCCTGAACTTGACTCGTATTTTATCGCTATCCTTATTATTCCGTACATCGGGTATGTTAGGTGAGCGATTTCTCATAGGATTTTGTCGCTTATCTCTATTAATACTAGGCCTAAGTTGGAAAAGATAATTCGGATTGACAAAACCTTGCAGTCTATTCCCTAAACCTTGTGGTCTATACCCCTGTGTATTTCTATAATTCGTCGCATTATAGCCGCGTCGAAAATTTATATTCGGTCTACTATCTCGTCTACTCTCCGGACCTCTTGTTTGGGCTTGGGGTAGCTGTTTCTTAATATCCGCTACTTCTTAGGTTAATTTTTCCAATGCGTTTTCTAGAGTTTTCCACGCATCCTGTTTTTCCTTTTCCGGATTAACAACTTTCGTAACGGCTCTTAAAATTCCGCGAGGCGGTGCTACAAAAGATTCTATCGTCTCCTCACTAATAGCTGCCCTTATAGCCTCATCAAAATTTTCGGGTTCTTTGGACATGACGCGTTGTCTCAATCTTATATCTAGGCCGTTACCAAATTGCACTTTCATCTAATTCTCAATCCTGTACTCTCTTAATTATTGTCGCTTCCGTTTCATCTGCTCCTACTTGTTCAATCTCCATTTCACTTGCTAGCGATTGGAGTCGTACAGCGTATGACTGAACATCCTCGCCTCGCTGTTGAACACAAGCGTAGAATCTATTCGATTTTAATTCGAAAGGAACTCGTTCAAATCTCTCAATCATCACCCTTTTAAAAGTATCGAAATCCTCAACCTCTTTTATTCGTCTGTCCTTCCTAACAAACTCTCGTTCTATTCCTGTCAGTTTAAGCTTTGCCACCACAAGCATCTGTGTTTTAGACCAAGCTGCAACCCTGGTCACATTCGCAAGAGAATCGAAAAACTCGGTGACCTTTGTTCCCGCAGGATCACCCAAAAATATTGGTAACAATGGAATCATGCCGCCTAAACCACCTAAAGTTATAAGATTACCGGCTAGAGTCGCACGCGGCAGTTCACCACCTTCCGCCATCGTTCTTATTTATTTTTACTAACTTAAAAGTAACTTAAAATTAAATGATCTTTTCTATACAACCGACAGACCTCATCAAAGACTTCTCTCTTTTACTACACCAATTTGTGCACTGTTGGGACACCAACTTTGTAGGTATCTACGGGAGATTCGGAAACCCCACTTTTGAAAACCAATTTGTGAGTTTCTACGGGTGGCCTAAGTTCAATAAACCCCACTCCTGGGACACCAATTTGTGCTAACCGAGGGGGCTGAAGCAAAGAGCTTCTCCTCACTTACCGGCTTGGCTGTCAGGAAATGGCTATAGGAGTGGGAGGCGTAATGAAGTCGTAATGAGATGTCGGTAGTACTCAACAAGAGTCATTAAATTAGGAATAACATATTTAATATAAACATAAACATAATACAAATACATTAAAATTACACATTAATTCTAAACAATATGAAAGCGATAATTACAATAAATTCTGAGTCGCGACAATATCGGACAACTGATGTCCGTCTTTCCCGTAATGAGAAGGTCCTCGACACAATATGACTAAGTTCTATCGAAAAGGAACAGAATAAATAATTTTTAAGTCGCGAGTATATCGAGAAAAAGTGAAGTAAAAACAATCTAAGTATTTACCTCATTAGGTCGGCGATCAGAAACCTTGAAGTCATTCCAGAGTAGACGCTTGTAGTCTTCTTTCTTCGATGATCGCCTTGAGATCTCGGATTATTCCTCTTTTATACTATTTTAGCGTAGGAAATCTCGGGAACCCCGATTTATGACAGTCTCCCCCGTCATGGGTGACGACAATGCAGACATCGCTTGACCAATTAATGTTAAATTCGTCATCACCTGGGGAGATGACTGACTATTTTAGGTAATGTTTTTCACCATACGGGTGACCCTTGTAGGTGACCTCTTGTCTACTCTCCACGCAGGAACACATGGTTGTCTTTTGCGGTCTAGCCAATTAGTAAAATAGTGCAATATAGTAGTGTCCTGGAGAGAGGGGAGTTCTTCCGCGGTCGCCTCGGACAACTTCGTCCGTCAAGAAGGTCATCTTAGAAACTACGCAGTTCGCTGTCCGGGGTCTATTCCTCGAACAACAGGGTGAGAACGGGAGAAATAACGGAAATGATGGTGAAAGAAATATAACTTGTTACGTTTTTAATTAAAATTCTCATAAGAGAGTCAGATTTTCACATTAGTGTATGTGTATTTGTGTGACATGATTAAATTGGGTAAACAGTAACTTTTTTGCTTTTTGTAAAAAATCTCTGAAATTTTGCAATTAGATTTCTTTATTATAAAAGCGATCTATTAACTTTGGTGCTTAAAAATGAAATAAGTGAACAAGTAGAGGGGGCAACCTATCCTATATCAAGTGACATGATAAGTAATGAACATTTCACTTTTTCATATGAGTTTACAATCTTTTATATAACTTCTCTATACATAAAAATTTACCTATTTTGTATTTTATAATAATAAATAAGATAAAAATTTTTGAGTTAAATTTTTATAACAGATGAGGNATCAACCCTTCCTACACAATTAATGCCAATGACTTGGAGAAGTCCACTCCCTTTCACCTTACTCATTACCCTGGAGATCTTAACCCGATTAAATTTAATGGGAACTTTAATAACAACTGCAAAGTGTTTACGGATGGCTCCAAAGTTGATAATCATGTTGGATGCAGCTTTGTGGTATATAGGGACGAAGATGAAATCTTCCACAAACAGCTCAGACTTGCCGACCATTGCTCAGTCTTTCAGGCTGAGCTCTTTGCTGTAAATGCCGCCATACACTGGTGTGAAAATAATTTTTCTGGCCTTAGTATAAACGTCGTCTCTGACAGTCAAGCCACAATTGCCAGCATTAAAAACAAACATACGCACTACCTAGTTACTGATATTTATTGCACTATTCGTCATTCCACCAATGAATATTTCTTGAACTGGACTCGTGCACATCAGGGTAATCCTGGTAACGAGCGGGCAGACGAACTAGCAAAGGAGGCTGCCACTGACCTCACTCTCACCACTAGTTATAATAATATGAGCAATTCCACCTTAAAGCACATCCTTTGGAACAATCTCCTCGAAAACTGGCAGAATGACTGGAACAACAACCGTCAATCAATTACCAATAACTTCTTCCCACATATCTCAGACATTTATAACTATAAATGGTTGAAACTCAACCATTCCACATCGCAATTTTTTACCAACCATGGTAATATCCACTGCTATCTTAACAGATTTACCAACTACTCGAACAATACATGCTCCCTCTGTGGCACTCAGGATGGAGCACTTCATTATATTTTCAACTGCCCAATGCTCGATGCTGAGCGGCAACATTTAAAGATTATAATCAACTCTCGGGGAAAGGACTGGCCCTGTAGTTGCAACGAGTTGATCAATGAACATTCCACTTACGTTTACTTCAATCAGCTAGTCAACAAATACTGTAAACTTGCAGCTCTCAACATTTCAACTAGCACCACCTAGCAACATAAATACCACCACTTATAACTTATTCATATTGCTATGCAATTCCACTATGTATTTGACCGTTGACATGTACTTGTCTTGTATATTGTGTTCCAATTCAATGTCCTGTATATAAAGTCATTCTTATTTGTTACGCGATCTCTAGTATGTAATTAAACTGCTTTGTATATCATGTTATGTATATAGTGCTCCGTATCTACAGTCCCATCTTTTATTTCATACCATGTATATAATTGATTTATATCGAATATCATGTTATGCTAATGTTATGTACTCTATTCCTGTAACTTTAATGTTGTATGCGTTTTCAAACCGGTTGTGCTTATGCGGTACCGGGCTTGTACCTTTGTACGGCAATAAAGAACCTGAACCTGAACCTGTCATTCGACCCACTTTACACTGAGAAGAAAGTGTTTGTTTGCATCAGGAGTGTCCAACCTTTTTGTTTTTCTGGGCCACATTGGAAGAAGTCAAGGAGTTTTAAGCCACAAGTATATATTATATATATACAAGTATATATATTATATATATTGTATACACAGTGTACAGTATACAATAGTCTATCAATGCATATTTTAACGTGACTTGTATTATTGTCCTTATTTTCCATTTGTCTTTAANGACAAAATTAAAATTTACTTACCTGTACTTTCACTTGTGAACTCGGTCGAGGTTTCTGGAACTAAAAATAAAAATTTTGCAAATACTCAATTTTCAACTACATGAAACTCTTGATATTGCAAAAAGAAAAATTCAATAACAATGCAAACAATCACTTTCTCAATTTACGGGTTTTTTCAAACGATACAGCAGACTGGTGTATTTTAATCAATCCACTGAAATAACTTGAAAATTCTTACGAAACCTTCATTACAGAAAAATTTTTAAACTTTTACCATTTTCAAAATAGTCAATTGAAAATGTAGATTTCAAAACACAACACTCTTCAGTTATTACAACAAATGTCAAAACTTTCAGCTAATTGTTTAAGGAGGAGTGTTTTCTATATGAGTAATGAACTAATTTAATAAATAATGCAGAATTATAAAAAATTCTGTTTATATCACCATGTTGAAGTTGAAAGTTGAAAGCTTTATAATAAAAAATTTAACAATAATAAATAATAAAGGCATTACTAAATGACAATGTCAAGTATTAACGAAAATTCTAATTGTTGCAAAATCGAACAATTAAATTTTTTTACTTATTTTTATAGTAATAACATCATCCAAACACACATTAACATGTAAATAGCAATGTCAAAAATTAATACATTGGCTTATTGCAATTGAGTTAACATTAATTTAGACATTAAATAAAAGCAGGCAAAATGAAAAATAGTGTTATTTCTAAAATATATTTATTTTACATTGATATTACGACAGATAACCCTATTTATATGCAATTCTTGAAATCCTTTGCATTTCACGAAAATTCGTATGATGAGGTTGCTTGCATGGCAACTTTGAAAAGCCAAGTTTTTTGTCGTTCGTTTGTTAAAACTTTTCCTCGCAATAAAAAAATCTGTTCATTACCTTTTTCATGATTGGAAAAGTTAGGATAGAACTGACTTTCTGATACTTTTTCAAAAATTTATGAAAAATCGATGTTTTGGAAAATTTACAATTTACTTTGCAGACTTTATGTTATCAAACCGAATTTTAAAAAATTAAAGTGATTTTTTTACATCAATAAAATATATAAATACTATCTATTCTGACACCTGTAGAACCATTTTGTAACATCTATAAAACTAAGATTTTTGATTTTTGAGAAATGCAAATTTTCTTAGTTTTACTACTGAAGTTTAAATTGAACCACTCTGTGTATATTTAGGAATATCAAATGCGTCATGTCATTTTAATAATTTAAAATTTCTACAGTAATATTCTGCAAAGAAAGAAAATATGGCAAAACTATTCTTTAGCAGAAAATACATTGAATGAAAAAATACTGTGTTCAACAAAAGTGTTGGTAAACTGCAGCAGAGAGTGAGAAGTGGTTAAGAGAAATATTTGAATAAAATCTGCTAAAAACTAAAAGCAATAAATTTACTTTTTATGCAAATCTTGATTTTAGTTGCCTGTCTTTAAACAAATCTTCATATGATAAATAATAGATTTTTTAAAATATTGAGTAACTGATTAAAGAATTCTTAATGTGATAATATATAGTATTATATTATGAATAAAACAGATATAATTAAAAAAAACTTACTTGTAGATGGCTGAGGAGATGTAGTTTGAACTGAAAGTAAATAATTACAATGTAATTACAGCACTCAAACATAAATTTAAAAACATTATAATAGCAGAAGTGAATAAAAATATATTGAAATATATTTTTAGTATATGGCGAAACAGCTCAAACTACTGGCCTGGATTCTATCCAGGCCAGCATTTCTTCATTTAAGCAATTTAATACTTGTAAAAAATTATTCAAGTTCGAGTTAACAAATATAACGCCGTGAGATTTTTTATTTCATAATATTTCCTTCGTAAATAATACTAATCAAAGGAGTTCTTGTAAAAATCAGAGATTAGACTAACAACCAGATTCCGGCGCAAACGAAACAAATTTGAGCATCGGAATGGACAGGACAGGACAGGAATGGACGATTACATTTCTGATATGTAATCGATGCCCCAGTCCTCTGCCAAGCTGCCTCCGATCATGTCGAGTTCCTGCCGTTTCAATTGGACCTAGCCGCTTTGTAATAATGGACAATCGACTTGAACCAGTAGTTACCAATTGTGGATATTAACATTACGGATTATTAGTAAGACTTTTCAATAGAAATAAGTCACCCTCCTTCCTCTGTCCAGGTCACCCAACCGTCATAACTGAAGAATCCACGTACTTATAAACACAATTTTTTGAGTTCCACAAAAAATCGTGTAAACAAGCATGCAAAAAATGTGTTTTCTATTTTAAGAAGATACGTTCCAACTTATTAACCCTTTCAATGAAAAAAATATATATTAGTTATTATTTGTCACTACATGATAGTAATCCGATATGATTATGACCAGGTGAGCGATTTTTGCTATTCTTGCTAGTGAGATTTACCAAATCCGCCAAATGTGAATCCAATAAAAATTTATTACCCATTAATACATTTTGAATGGATTAAATACGCTCTGAAAGTTCTTGCGGTATTGACTTTTTTGTCATAAAATCTGTTATATTCACTTGTTGTTTCGGTTTTGCAAGTTCCTTGTACGTACAGTTCTATGTACCCAACTGAACAAATCATTAAATTTTTAAACGCATTTTACACTTGGATCAAGCAATCATTAATTGAAAAATTATTATTTCCTCTTCACCAAGTTTTAGGTCAATTCTTTTGCCAACAGATGTAAGACCTTCACCACTCGCAAGATCGTCCATGATTTTTGTTTTTATTTCTAACGAAATGGCTCTCCTTATTTTCTTTTGTAAAATTAGACATTTTGTACTCGTAATCTACTGTAAAATTTTTAATTAAAATACATACCAAAAACTTGTAAAACATCATATCTGCCTTTTTAATTTTTAATACACTTCTCGTGCATTATGCACTTTCTCTGACTAAAATGTTAAGAGCTAATGCTAATTCAGTAATGAACTTATTGAATGATGGAATACTTGAATACCATATATGAACTAATAAATTATTTTTGTTTACTCTCTTTCTTCCTTTGTTTCACGTTGAAGTTAATTTTTAAATTGTGTGAGGAGGAATAATACATGTAAAAAATAAAGACAGTTTTTTCTTGAACCGTGTTAAAAAAATAAAGCTTGTAATGAAAGAAAACTTTTTTTCTTTGACCGTGTTATTTCAAAATCGTGTACAATACGACCTTGTTAGAAAAGAGTTTGGTGTATATAACACAAGATTGTTTCAAAAAAGACAAATAAATTTTACAAAATTATTTCACATAATGAACAGAATCTAGATTTCCATAAAATACAAGTTAAATATAAAAAAGCACAGAGTTTTTCAAAGTGTTGTTAATTTAAATGTTTTTATTTGAATGTAAGAATGTTACTTTTAATCTTGACAGTAAAAAATAAAATCTATACATTGAGCAAGGCCGTGCCACTGTTGTTATTGCATAAAAAACAATTTAAGTATATGTGCCTGTCTTGAAATTTTTCTTCATTTGTGAAGCTTATTCAAGCAAACAGTTTTACTTACTTAAAAAGGTCTCTGAAATGTACACGTAATTTCTTCGTTAGTTACATTACTTACATACGCACCGAAAGGCACATAGCATCTGTACACAGTGTATGACACCATAATTTTTTTCTAAATTTTACAAATTATTAGAAATATATTAAAAACTGCAATTTATGTATTTTAGTATACTATCTAACAATATAAAATACTTTCGAATTAAAGAAAATAAATTGTTTTGCTTACCTTACAGTAGTGTGATTCAAAAAACAGAAAAAGTAAACATATCAAATGTGAACTGGCTACAAGTTATCTCATGTTATATCAACTGCCATAGTGTTTGAGTGAAAATTCAGAGAAAAGTGCTATTTTTCAAGATAAAAAAAGTAAAATTTTATTACTCTCCAACGCGAACTGGATGAGACCAGACCTTATCCCAACTGCTAGTTGTTTTATGACTCTATGTTATTGTGAATGACCGATATCTGGCGAATGTCAACATTCTCCGGTGAATGTCAGCATTCACCCAGTCGTTTCGTGTATGTACGAAATATTTGCTAAATATCATTATTTCTCACTTACACCGGCAAATGTCGACATTCGGAATGCACTGATGGTGAATGTTGAATAAAAATATTTTTATTACGTTGACACAAAAATGCAACTTTTTAATATGTCAAAATAGGAGAAAGCTTAAGTAACAGCACATGTAAATAAACTGTTGAACCTAAAACGAACAGTACATTCTATATCATTAAAGAAAATAATACAATAATAAACTTACACATAAATTATGTGATTAACATTATACAATCTTATTTATTGCAACAACTTTAAACTGTTATGGCACTTTGAATTGCACAAGAGTCCCTTGCTTTTACAACTGCATTTATTCGTGAAACACTTCTTTTTGCAATGACACCGTGTATAGCCTTGCCCTCCACTTTTCGAATTAGCTGCAGCTGCTTCTCTCGGCGATACTTCTTGAGAAAAAATCTCATCTATGGAAAGTAACTTTTCTTTACAAATTACTGATTACGTTATTACGTGATTACGAATTAATCTGTTAATGGTGTCTTTTATTCGGATATCGCCGCCACCTTACCGACGACCCCTCTCATCCTCCTCCACTCGAAATGATAAACCGTTCAAAAGAACAAAAACGCCATCCAGTGACAAAGTGGGCGGTTTCCACCAAACCGTTGCCGGGAAAAGAGGTACGATCTTGTCCTACCTCCGGCTGCGCACAAATGATTTGGCTACAGACTATCACCTCTCTGTGGACATCGGCTTCTCAGGTGTCATTTCAACTTCCACTAAAGCTTATATATGCTTGTCGACATACACCGGCGATTGTTCGAATGTATAATAATATAACCAAATATTTGGTCTTTCACTGACGTATCTTGTATGTGTCGACATTCTCTAATTTCGGTCTTTCACAGAAACATCTATAAAAAGGAGCTTCCTTCTTCTTACAAGTGAAAGAAATGTAAATATTGTTGTTTCGTTCTACTGTACTTTAAACGAATTTTTTCCTTAACATTTAAAACCGGTTTTTGTTAACAGTAAAGGCTATAATTCTATTTTAAAGTTTATTTTGCGAGATGGTCACAATGTCTCGAAAATCGTTATACCTAAGGCAGACTCCACCAGTGTAAAAACAACTGTAAAACCCTTGCAATACTAACTTTTAATCATTTGACCATGCCATTTTACGCCGAGCACGGCGTAAAACAATCGAAAAGGAATTCAGGTTAATTTCAGAATATACGTTACTCGAAATATTACAGAAACCAACAAATTTTGTGGCTGATTGTTTAAACAGAAATCTGCAATAAAGTGCATATTACAACTTTGGCCTTCTTCCCTTGTGAATAATATGTCCCAAGTTTTATAATTAGGAAAATACAAAAAATATTAACTTAATGTATAAAATAAGATAATGAGTGTGAATATATTAATAATCATTGATAATAGCCACCTTTCCAAAAGAAGTCATGCAATTTGCATAGAATTAATCGCATTCCTTGTGTTAGATGCGAAACAACTTTTTAAACTTTTCACGATTTAAAAAAATCTGAAAATCTTACTTCCTTTTCAATTTCTCGAACCACAGAAAATCAATACCTACATTTTTCATTGTGTGTCGATATTTTAACAAAAGTAAACTTGGACGTCTCCTCATGTCAAATTAATTTCTCAGGAAAAAATCTGCACAAATAGTGAGGTCTTTGCTTGTATTTAGGAATTACAAGTAATTAGTGAAATTTATCAAAATATTAATGTAAAATGAATTTATCTTTAAATAATACTAATTTTTTTATTCTTTGCTTTAACTGAATATCTGCTACAATTTAAATCAATTCATAATTGGCCATTGCAATTATTTTTTACAACACGATTTTTGCCCTTTGTTATTGTCACATAGCATTCTTACGATCATAGCATGATGAAACTTTTAATACTTCCAAACTTGCAACAGTTAACCTTTTTCATAACTATGTAAGATTTCAGGCTACAGTTTTTATAAAAAAAGAAAAATTTAAAAAAATTTCTGAACAAGATGTTAACAAATGAAAAAATTAAAAAATTGCGACAAGAAAGTAATAAAATCTTGATAGAAATAACATTTCCTTTTCAACGACTCCTTTCTGACAAATGACTCATACATAGGCCTACATAAAAGTAAAAAGAAAATTTACGATCGGATAATGATTTGTTGTTAAATCGAGTGTTGCTTATTTGGTCATGTGTTGACTCAGACAGAACATGGGAAGTTATAATAGAACCACCAAAAATGTCAATTTAATCGAGTAGTTGCGCCCAAGGTAAAGACTCACAAAATTTTCCATTTCCAATGTTCAGTTCAATGGTCATCTTTTTGTCCAGTTCAAGCGCCTAATCCCACTCCAGTCCCATCACTCCTTAAACATTCAAACTGCTACAAAAGTCGACCTTCCACATGATATCAGCTGCTGAAAGGAAAAATAGAACTTTTAAAAAGACGTCAAGTGGCTAGTTGAAAGGTAATTTATGTGAGACAAAATGTAAACCTTCTCTCGGGTAATACAATTGCTTCAAAGTA